ATTTAAAACGTTCCTAAATATTTTTGCCATTTACTGCAACGAAAATTTGAATTGTGAACTCTTGATTCATTTCTTGATTTTGTAGTGGGTATTATCATAAAATTGTAAATAGTTTATTTTTTTATTCATGAGTATAGATAATACCTATCATTTGGTATTATTGATTAAACACATGTAGGTATTTTAGTATTTTTATAATCTTATAATTTATACCAAATAGTAATTTACAATTTTTTAGGAAAATGGGAAGTAAATGTCTACATAAAATATTATTAAAATGATGCCTTTTTTGTAATATCTAATGTTTTTAAATCTTTTGTAATAAATAGAGAAAATATTTTTGTCTTTAAATTTAATTAAATGCTGTTGTATATCTTTACCGTAAATTTATATATTTTTATATAATTATAAACTAATTATTTAAAAAAAATTACAGACACAAATTAATTAGTTTATTTTTTTAAAGTATAATAATATAAAATTTATAAAATATGGATGGGTAAGATAATTTATAATTTTTTATATTAAGTAATATCTAGTTTTTTTATCGATTTATTCTTTGAGGTTTCTCTTCTTCGTATTTTCGTTGACTAATCAAAACAAAGAAAATTCAAATGAGTTATACTTACTTTCTTCCTCAACTCAAAAACTTTTTCAGAAAACAACAACTTTTCAAAAAGTAATACCAACAATAGTTTTCTATTAAAATAATTTCACTGAAAACACGAACTGAATTGTATTTTCCTCCAAAATATTCTAAAAGCACAAATTTCAAATACTTTGAAGTTATCACGAGTGTACGAAGGAGCAGTTCGAATTTCGAACACGACCGTTCCCCTCATTCACCGCGCATAGACTGGCTGGAAGAAGGCTCTCGTATGAAACCTCTGCCGCTCCGAATTAAAAAAAAAAAAACAAACAAGCCAATGGCCGTATTGATACGTTTACGTTAATTTTGATACTTGTGTTCTATTCAGTCTCGCTCTCTCATTTATTGGTTTTTGATTGATACTTAGACTTTGATGGGAGAAAAATGTATATTTTTTTTGAAACCGTTTAAATATAGATAGGAGGAGCATTTCAATTAATTCAAGTGTTTTTTATGTATCTTATTAGTATTTTTTAATAACGAATCTTATAAATAGGCCTTCTACGAATTATAAGCAATTACTTGATGATATTTTCTTTATAGCTAATTTTGAAAAACTAATTTAATATTAGAATACATTTTTCAGACTTTCTACGAAATCACCTTTAATCAGATAAACAGATAATTAAATTAAAAATGTATTTATAACAATTATAAGAAAACACTTTTATAATCAAATCATTAATTTATAATTACTTGAAAAATATTAATTTTTTTCATCATGGTTCTAAAAAGCTATTCAAGAGTGCAAAATACCATCGAATTACCATAGCTTAATATATTTTATGCAAATTATGATAGGTCATTGTCCTTTTTTTAATTACAAACTTCGAACGATGGTGTTTATGGCTTGTCACTTCACCATGGCGACTTGCTTAATGAATTGCTAATTTCTATTCCGAAGATAGAAAATAGAAAATGTCAACGGTGTAATAACGTTTAATTAAATTTATTCATTTTTATTCCTCCCTTTTATTTTTTTATTTGAATTTGATACTGGCTACTACGTTCGAAATTCAATTTACTGAACTTTTGTCGATAGAGCGGAGCGCAGTAAGTGTCAAATGACAGCTCACGCAGATAGACCATAGATTAAAACAAATCAAGGGATGACGTCACAAAATCCTACATCGCACATGTGAAGTTTACATGCGAATTAACACCGATAGAAAATCCCAACGAACAACTGTTAGGCAGAAAGCCCGCCCGGCACGATCACCTCGACTGGTCGGAAGATCCTTCTTTTCCGATCTTAGGAAACTCTACTCACTGTTCCCTAAAAAGTGAGGTAATTGAGAAGAACAAGTAACATCATACCTTTATGTTTCCTAAAAGGATATGCAGAAGCGTACTTCTTCACATAACATCACGTCTTTTATCGCCGAAGGGGTAGGCAGAGGAGCACATTATGCCACTGTACAATGTAACACCTTATTTGTAATAGGGGATGAGCCCGTACTTCTTAAGGATAGTATAATTATTTAAGCCTACTATTTTCCAGTTAGTTTACGAGTCCCATATAATAAGAATACGAGCCTTTCGGCAAATGTTTACTCGGCAGTCGCATTTACGAATCCACCAATTACTCTAGTAGTATTAAAATATATTGTTTCGATTGTAAATTGAAATCGTCGATCGTTTCACTTGCTACAGCTGTTAGTCCCATGTTGGGCGCCAATTAACAGCACATTGGTACATTAATTTTGCGAATAACGTTGCAATCGTAGGCGCAATTAACACATGGTGATATTTCAACTCTTTTTATGAGTAGTTGTAGTTTTATACACACGTATATAATATAAAAAAATGTCGTGGTAGCCCGGAGGTTTAAACTGTCAAACACCAAGCGGTGACCGCTTGGTGTTTTGGTGCTTCTCATGCATGAGAGAGCGGGTTCAAAACCTACCAACGGCAAGTACCAATGTGACTTTTTCCAAGTTATATGTACATTCTAAGATTATTTAGACACCACTGACAAACGGTGGTGGAAAACATAGTGAGGAAACCTGGGCTTATAATATCTAAGTTTGAAATCGCCAATCCGCATTGAGCAAGTATGGTGATTAATGCTCAAACCTTCTCCGTGTGAGAAGAGGCTATGCTCAGCAGTGGGCATTTAATGGCTGTTGATGATAATATAACATTTATTTTTCGTCAATAACGACACAGGTTCCAATGTCATTTCAAGCTCGGTGCTATTGCAGGATGATTCCGACCCCGGGGATTAAAAAACTTGAATCTCTTACTCACCCGACGATGCCGGCAAACCTGGAGCTGCGGATAACTTAACAGCTACCAGGACTCCAGCTCGAAGCAATATTAAGAACGGGCTGGATTTTATTTAATAAGAGTCTGATTCTCCATCTTGCTTTAATTAAGGTGGCAGACGTCACTGAAAGATTCTCCCCTTTAACAAAAAAAAGACTTCTTATTCAATAGTTATGCTATTAACGCAGTAAAATTAAGTTCGAAGTACATTATCAACTTTGACTTAGACTTTATCATATTTTCGATATATTGGGGTTTACGAAAATATAAACCAAATCAAATGTGGACAGGCGAACATGAGCGCACGTCGATAAAATTAAACTTTAAGTGCTAATTCACTACAAGAGTATTTATTTTTAGATCACCTTTAATATTTATTGTAATAAATAGAAATTGTATATACATTTTGAAATAAATCAAAGCAATTACTTTTGTACAAAATTTAGGTGTAATTTCTAGGTCAATGAGCCCTTGGACGATTGAGATACGATATAATAAGTTATGAACTCAATAAAAAAAATGTTTTTTATTACATGGGACTCATAACATAAATAGTGAAAAGTGGGTGTTACACTGTACAGTGGCATAATGGATAAAAGGCGTGATGATGTTATGCTGTTTATTAGTGTTCAAAAAAAATTTTTGCTGTCGATCAAACACTGCTATAGGCAAATCCTCCGCAACCCGCAAGTGTGTGAGGTTAAGATTGGGTTGTATTCTTTACAAATAGTCACTATTTAGTGAAATCTATTAATTTCAGCAAAGAATTAAAAGTCACGCGACAATAATGCTTAAAACTAGACATGTTTACGTGACCGTTAGTAAAATTTTAAATACAATTATAAATATAACAAATTAGGATATATTCTTCTAACCTTTACCCAACCGAGTCAGAAAAATAAATTAAAAGTATTAGACCGGATTATCTTTGGAACACATCTATCTACTGCTTAGATGGAGGGTTAAGAACTATAAGACACTAATAAATACTATTACGTTGACAAGTCCTCTTTGAAGGAAAGGTCACATACGTATCTACTGGCGTAACATCCCCTTTTCAATCGTCGGGTTAAATATTACTGAGGATTCGAAAGTACTAATTATTATAAAGCTGACTTGTATTAAGCTTAATGTCGGTAAAATAAGCTTGTATCGGTTTTATTGATAAAAACGTAAACTATGAAAAGTAACTTGAATCCATAATATGTATTATGATTGAAGAATTGAAAACGAAAGTACTTAAGAGAGATCAGTTTCATTCGTTCTCAGAAAAAAGAGTTATTACATTCACAAATTGTAATATTTAATCTTCTAAACGTAGTATTATTTTTACGAAAATATTTTTCGGTCGCTCGGTTTAAAACCTGAAAACCTGTTTAAAAAGAAATGTTGTACGAAAATATGTTATTTAAGAATTGTTTTAAGAGGTAAATAAAGTTGTTTTAGTTTCTATAAATCTGTTACGAGCATTTCAAAATATTGTAAGAATTTGGTGGAAATTAGACTTAAATGATTTCAATAATTCAAAGATACTGGTTGTATATACTGCACACTGTAGGTACTGGTCCAAGCCAATGTCTTTACCACTTTGGAAACCTTGAACAAATTCTTTACTCGTTCTCGATATTTGGAATTAAATTAACAGGTTAGTTATATTACACTAATAATATAAATGTGAAATTTCTATGTTTGGATGCTTATCTGTCAATCACGCTGAACTGCTGGATGGATTTTGATAAAATACGGTATGCAGGCAGGATATGGGCTGACTGGACTAGGTGATAGGATACTTTTTATCTCGATTAAATGCACAAGTGGGGTAAAACACGAATCATATTCCATGCGGTAAAAGTCACAGGCAACATTTAGTTGATCATAAATTGAAAAGACCAACAAAACTTTTTGTTGTCTACATAAAATAACTAAAGCACATCTTACACTAAGCTAAAAGCCATTAGCGTAACGAAAAATAATGACACGTCACTCGATAACAACAAACTGTCAGTTATCAAACAAGATGCGTCAAATGTAACAAAAAAAGTCAAAATTATATAAGTAAAAATTATTTTAAATTACAAGTGAAATGCCCAACACGAGGCGTCGGAGGTTTTCCGTACAGAATGAGATCGCCGGCCGAGAAGGCAAATTGCAAAATGGTTTGCCAATCAGGTACATGAATAAGAACTTCATAAGTACTACCATGGTGAGATAGGGACTTCCACTGATGCTGGGTATTGCTCATAATCAAGTTCATTTATAATTTAAGAACAAAATTATTATTATTATTCATTTACTTACTTTTGCTTCGGATGCGACAGCGTCAGAACAAGTCCTTATGCCTTCGTAGTTAATAGCCGGTGGTTAGAACAGCTGATCCAAATAGATTATTCGTCTATTCAGCGAGTTTAGTTTGCACCCGGAGCCGAACCCAACAACTTGGGATGAAGTTGGAATGAAGATGTCACTGTTTGGATTTCTCAATTGGATCAGCTATGTGAGGCATGTTGTTCATCTAAACAATCATTTAAAGTGGGTATTATATTTAAAAAGTAAATTCGTATAGGTATCTGTCAATTTGCTTATTTTTGGAATTATAATATTAATATAAGTTTTTTTTTTCAGCCTAAAGTCGGGTTTTCTTAACATTTACATGATCAAAAGTATAGAACTTCTTTTAAATTCAATTTATAAATTGCATGTTACATAAATAAAATTCTGTAACATTTCATCGTATTCTGGCATGAGATCTTCAATTTATTTCATCAACATATCAGAATACTACAGTATCTTTTCCAGCAAAGCGCCGTACTATGTTTTCACGCATTTTAAAGTCAACTGTAATCTTAAGATTAATATTATTAGACATTTCTGTAGGTGGAATAAAACTTTTCTAGAAGACTTTATTTTAATATTTTTTTCCCTTTTATACATTACACGATAGAGTGGAACAAGTTAGTTTTAGGAAAATCATTTTACAATCCCATTTATACCGACTTACTCTAATTACCAAGGTATTTTGTCTTTCAGTCACTCCGACCCCGATACAGAACTAAAAGTGGTGGCCACAAACATAGTTGCGACAAAATCATCGAGACATAAAAACAAGGTATATGCGAACAGCTCAAAAAGTCAAACTTTGGAGGTTGTAGCAGAATGTGAAAGTACTATATCAGTAAGTACTGTCAAAAAACTATCAACCGTGACTATGGACAAAGCTGTATATGCAAGTTCGAGTACTCTCTTAAATCCAGAGAATGCCACTGAAGAATCAATCAATCCTTTAAGTTCTGATCGATCAAAAACAGTAGCAACGGCGATCGAACCACAGAAGAAAAGAGATGAGAGGCAATTGTCTAGAGATAGAACACCTGCTAGAAGAGACAAGCACCCACGTCAACATCGCATCAAGGTTAGAAGTCCTAAGCGTCGTATACCACTTATAGAACAACCGAATAATAAAGCAATAGACAATAATAAAAGAACAACAGGAACCACGGCGATTAACTGGGACTCAGAAGTTGAACTTTGCAGCCCAGACAACGTGACCAATGTACTAGATACTTTTGAAGAAGTGGAGAGGACGAGTAATCATTCTATAGATGACATGTGTCGCATCTGTCATGGCGGCGAGTCGCTATCGCCAGAACTTGGGCGTTTGATATCTGCGTGTTCTTGTCGAGGAACCGTTGGTAGGGTCCATGTGAAATGTTTGGAGCGATGGTTGACCGAATCAGGAAAATCTAGATGCGAATTGTGTGGGACCCGGTATGCGACGAGACGCGTGCATAGGTACGGCGTACCGAGGGCGTTAGTTATGTGGGTACTGAGCCAAAATGCTAAACAGGTATGTTCCATTTAAATTGTTTTCGTTACTTTCATATACTTTCTATTAATAACTCACTATCTTTAGGTCCAAAGTCAAAAGTCAAAGTCAAAGTCAAAATCATTTATTTAAATTAGACCAGGAAGGCACTTTTAAACGTCAGCAATAGAAATTTAAAATTGAAGCTATTTGCTCATTCCAAGGTGTAGATTCCTATGGAGAAGAACGAGCAAGAAACTCCATCTACACTATACTACAATGCAGAATAATTCCCCTACATTAGGGGATAATAAATAAAAAAACTAAACATAACTGTTCCACCCAATACCATATCCAATCAACAAATTACATAGTCGAAAGAAAGAAAAATCCTTGACATTGCGATGTAATGAACAGTCGTCGAACATTTCGTGTTCCATTTTGATTTTACAGCTTCAGGCCATAATCCCATATCCGTCTAAAGTAGGTCTAATGTTTATAGCCAAAAGCACGCGAAGTTGTTTGTATTTTTACATTACAGTCATTAACTGTGTTCCTAATTATGTTTTTTAGTAATACATTCGTTTCAGAATTTTTATTACCGTATTAATTGGTAGGTAGGTTGAAAGTTATGAGCTTGACCACAAATAATAAACAAGTTAAGCTTTAGCCGAATTTGTTTATATCAAAATTATAACAAAATTAAACTCAAAAGCCTCGTTGGCCGAGTGGTCGCAAGTGCGACTGCCGGGCAAGGGGTCTCGGGTTCGATTCCCGGGTCGGGCAAAGTATTACTGGGTTTTAAAAAATTCTCAGTAGTAGCACGGAGTCTGGAATTGTGCCCGGTATATGGCAATAGGCTCACCCCCTATTACATGGGACTCATAACATAAATAGTGAAAAGTGGGTGTTACATTGTACAGTGGCATAATGTGCACCTCTGCCTAACCCTTCGGGGATAAAAGGAATGACGTTATGTTAAACTCAAAAGCATTACTTGAGTTTCTTGATTTTAATCCTAGTGAACTTATTGAACAGAATGTATTTCTAAATTATCTTTAACTGCCTTAATAATTAGGTCACTATTGGCTTGTTTCAGTTGATGGTGGACAGTCTCGGTATTATGCTGATGTCACCTCTCGCAGTGCTGGCTGCGTGGTTGTCAGGACGTACATTGGCTGGTCTGATGACGCAAGAGAGCCACGTGACCCCTTGGCCACTAGCCTCCACTTTTGTACTAGCCTGTATGACACTAGTAAGTTAAACTTTCATATTCCAATTGATATACAAAAGTGTTTGTTACCTCTTTATATTTTTATATAGTAAAAGCTCCTTATTCGCGTTTGCTTCATTCACGGATTGAAAAAATGCGATCTACTTAATTCCTATATTCGCGACCTAAGATTCTGTAAGTATTCGCGGATCGAATCGGTACATCGGTATTACCCCTTTAACTCTATACAAGTTACGATTCCATATTCACGGTTTCTCTATTCGCGGCATCTCTACATTTACGATACATATCGCAGGCGAATAAAGACTTTTTACTGCACTTAACTAATCTTCTTCAAGCACTGCTTTTTACCGCGGGTAAAAGCTAGTTGTTCTATAATTTCCAAGTTAAAATAAAAATGGACATCAATTCTTCAGTCAGGGGAGATATTTAAGAAATAAATTGTTCTTTACATAGCATAAATTGCTCAATGGTTAAGCTAATTATTACCGTTTAATTTATTACTTTGATGCCTAGCGTACATACAAATTAATGAGCAAATCTATACATATAATAAAATTGTAGAAAAGTGCTGTCTGTACATTGAAAATAAAAATAAAAAAAATAGCAGGGGTTTTGTTATGTCGATGTCGAACCCAAAAATGTAATTAACTTTTTTTTGTCTGTTTGTCTGTTCACGCTAATCTCAGAAACGGTTGATCCGAGTTGGATGCGGTTTTCACGAATATATTGTGGTATGCTTCAGTTATGCTTTAGTGTTTGTTTCATGTCAATCGGTTCATAAATAAAAAAGTTATGTCAAATTAAAGAATCACGTCGTGAGTATATATTTAAAAAAAAACGCTGCTCATAGTCACAATTCCACGCGAACGAAGTCGCGGGCACAGCTAATAATGAATATTTTTTTACAGAAAGGAAATGTTGCTAAAGTTCTTATTAGTATTAATGGCTGTACAAAGCACTATTAGTATTTAAAAATATGCTTCAAATATAATATCTAAATTAACTAAAACCCACTCCGAATTTCCGTCAAATTGTTTTCACAAATAACAGAAGAACATTTATTATGCCACAACACGCTCAAACTATCTCCCAGTCACCGCAACTTTGTATCCATCTGTCAGTAACTTGACCGCGGCCATATTTGTTTTTAGTGCCTAAATTATCGAGACTGGGTAGTAAGCCGACAACGTGCCGCGTACGTCTGGAACAGCAGCGTAAACACGGTGATGGTTTGATTTTGTTTGTTGGCTTCTACAATCATACAAACACAAACATAGTATTAATACATATTTGCCGGAATACTGAAACGTTACTCAATTTTAAGTCGTGCTTAAATATTGTGCCATCTCTATCATTTTAGAGGTACAAAGAATTTGTAGAGACTGAAGTATACTTAAGCACGACTTAAAATTGAGTAGCGTTTGAGTATTCCGACAATTATCACAACGACTTTATTCTATTGAGGTAGGCAACGATGCCAAATGGGCGATCGTAAATTACGCATTTCGGTTTCCGATAAAAGTTCTAAATAAAATGCGAAGTAAATACATATATTATCTGCACCTGCACCCCTTTTCATGAAACGTGAGTAAAGGACTATTAAGTAATAGACTTACCAATATTAAAATGCGAACGAGTATTTCTTTGTTTTTGTATCAAAGCAATTTTATATCATCATTATTAGCTATACTGAGCTGATATAGATGACTTAATTTCCGATTTCGCGTAACACGCTGCTCGTAAATATCAGCTGCGGCGTGACTTGAAACTAGTAGAGCCTAGTCGATTACAAATCAACAGTTACTAACACATATCTTTACTTTGTCATCCAGGTATGTTACTACTGCTGGATAGTGTCTGCAGCGACCCGTCACGCTCTCGGCTGGTGGATTTGGTACAGATCTCAATACGAAGTCAGGCTCCAAATACAGGAAAACGAAGATTAATACTTACACAAAATATTTATTTATTTCTTGTCGCCCTGCAATGTTTATATTTTTATATACCAATTATTTTATGGTTGAGTTAATAAACGCAAACGTAAACGATATTTTTGAGTATATTTTTAGAGTTCAGTATTCTCTTCAGGCCAGTAGTTATTGCGTAAGAAATAACACATACTCCATATAAATTGTGTCAGGGGTCTATCTTAAACTGTCAAACACCGCGAGGACACCGGTTACTATTATTCTCTTTGACACCGGTGACCGCAACCTATTGTTCTTTAATTGTGTCTATAATGACGGTACTCAAAGAGTTAAATAAATAAAAATGAATTTCCATTTATTAGTCCCGCTTAAACTCGAGGATGGCTGAACCGATTTGGCTATTTTTGGTTTTGAAATGCTCGTGGAAATCTAGACAAGCAACGTCTAAAAGGCGGGAAAATCATCGAATGACTTCTCCCGTCTGGTTGAGGCTGGAGGGAGTGTCAGACTCTTACCCGGTAACCCTTTATGTGTTCCGCGGCTCCGTATCGGCATCAGGCCTATTGAGCCCGATCTGTGGTGATCGGATGGCTCTTTGAGGCGCGCGCGGAACGCGTCGCGCTTGCCGCTCGGGTCTGGTTCTGGTCGGGCAGCGAGTTACCCGTGCTCGCCGTCCGCAAGCCCGTACTCACAGTGGCCGGATATCGTCCCGCGATCTCCGACGCCCAGAGTGTCCTTCGCGACACGGCTGGGTTGTGATGAGGCAGCGCTTCGGTGCCTCATGCGCCCCGCCAGGTCAACTAGTCTTTAATAAATCAAGTATATAGGTATAAAAACTAGCCATCCATCAAAGGCGACAGTTCAATATACAACTAATTTAACCACAAGTTTAACTACGATGTCATAATAGCTCAGAGTTCATGTCATAATAACTCTTTCTTTTTAGTATTACTATACTCTATGATGAACTCTGTAACTGAGGGCGTAGTACCTACGATTTTGTTTTACGTATATCGAAATCGAAACGAGAACGCGTTCGGCAGTGTGATTTACAGCACACATCAACAGCCTATAAGTGGCCACTGCTGCCCAAAGGCCTCTTCTCACACGGAGAAGATTGAAACATTAATCACTACGCTTGCACCCGCATTGGGTTGGCGATTTCAAACTTATAATTAGAAATTGTAAGCCCAGTTTCCTCACTATGTTTTCCTTCAACGTTTGTCTAAATAATAATCTTAGAAAGTACATATAACTCGGAAAAAGTTACATAGGTAGGTAGGTTTCAAACCCGCGCCCTCATGTATGAGAAGCGGGAGTCGTTTTTGTATTAAAATTATGTTTCCTTGCTGTGCCCGACAGGGTCCACGATGATCTGTATTTTTTTATGTTACCACCTAAGTAAAACATTGTGGAACGCAATAAAGAATTTGAATTTAACCTCCGGCCACCATGATGGCGGTGTGATTGACCAGTTCCAATAAACCACCCATCATAGCACCGAACTCAGTCTCGTATCTCGTTCAACGTAAAGCTAATTTATACTCAGCCCTCAGATCAAAACTAATTAAAACTGTGTCACTGATGCATAATTAACAAGCTTCCTGCTGCTAAATCCAAAGTCGAGATTAAAGTACTTTTAGATAAGTAATTATAATTGTTGTTGAATTATTTGTCTGCTATTATTACCTGGTAGGTAACTTCCACGTGTATCGAAGTTTCCCTGTATATGAAATCTCAGAGTATCAAAGTTACTTCTTTTACAACCCATGAAATAAAACGTTTACTTTTTTTATGGCATAAGCCGGTAAACGAGCCGACGGATCACCTGATGGTAAGCAATCGGCGTCGCCCATGGACACCTGGAACACCAGAGTCGTTACAAGTGCGTTACCGGCCTTTTGGGGATTAGGAGTTTGAGGATCGTTGGAGATTCAGGGATTGGGGTGATTGGGAAAGACGCAGGGGGGGATAATTGGACCTCCGATAACCTCACTCGCACGACGAAACATAACGCAAGCGTTGCTTCACGTCGGTTTTCTGTGAGGCCGTGGTATCACTCCGGTTGAGCCTGCCCATTCGTGCCGAAGTATGGCTCTCCTACACTTAAACTTTATCGTATTACTAGCTGACCCGGCAAACTTCGTACCGCCTAACAGTCAATTAATGTCGTGTTACCTTGTAGCTGAAATAATTTAGGCTTTGATGAACGTAATACAATGATACAATATAAACATGAACATAGATAGATTAAATACAGGAGGAGGTGATTTTCATTCTACGTCTTTTTTTAAGGGGGGAAAATCATCGAATCGCTGCTCCCTACGGGGTGAGGCGAGAGGGAGTGTCAGACTCTTACTGACTAAAAACCACCCCGTTTCTTGTCCTGCACGTCGATACGATGCAGTTGAAAAACACGTTAATAAAAACAACAAAATTCATAATTAAACTTATTAATTTATTAAAAAGAATCCTTTTTGGAATATTGTCACAGATCTTGATTTATTAGAATGTATTTAAAAAAATATCATACAGAAATATGTAGACTAAGAAGGGTATTAAAGAAAAGTGTTGTTCGAGATGCAACTGAACCGGCAACTGTATTTATACCATTTTAGACCACTTATGTGTGTGGAGAAAATCTTTACTCGTAACCGGTAGTCTCTAAGTTAACATAATTTAAATGTAATCCATTCTGGCAAAGTGCCAAGCAAAACCAACTAATTTGATACCCGCGACTTCGTCCGCGTAGAATATGAATTTTATAACATTTATTTTTTGTTTCAACTTTCCAAAATAAACGTAGCATATATTACTCCTTAGCACATCAGCAAGGTGCCAATAGATGTCTTGCAAAATCGGTACTACCATTCCAGAGATTAGCCAGTACAAACAGACAGACAGAGAGACATAAATTGTGAACAACGTTATATTTGTATGTGTATCGTATGTACATTACGTATCTACATGCATGTAGTAAAAAGCGGTTGTTTTCATATTACAAATAGACAATCCTAATTTATTTATCTGTATAAATATAACGATCATGTTGTGTATAAAATGGATAACCAAAAAGTTCTCAATACCAGTTGCCAATTCAAACTCCACTTTAAATCTAATTAGTTCTTCAATGAGCTGACATCCTCGAGCCAGTTGGGCCATCTTCTGATCTCATTGTAGAGCTTCCTGCCAGGACTTTGAGTGGCAATGAGCTGGCGATGGCCAACAACGTGGTAGTTAGCAGTCAAGTGCCCTCGCTCCACTCCACAACGCAGCAATGCCTTCACTGCATCTAATGATGCTTGAGTTGGGGTGTCATCTGAAATAGACAGGAATAATATAATTAGTCAGTTGAGAGCGAGACCCCGTTTTTTAGCTGCGTCACGTCGTCATCATCGTTGCAATGGAACAGCGCATTATTTGCCCCACCAAGGTTGCCACGACGCACGACGTCGCAGCTGCGTCTAAACGTGATAACTGTCCGTCGACGCAACGGATCACTGTCATCCTGCTTCGTCTCTTGTCCGTCGATCTATTGAAAGGTCGTGCGCGACGACACAACATAGTGCAACAAACAGATGAGGTTTTGCTCTAAGAGAGCTGCTGATTAGGCTTTTGTTTCTGGAGGATTTACGAGTATGTTCAATTCAAGGTACTATTAAGGTGAAGGTAGTATGGTCATTGATTAGTTATCAGTTTCAACCAAAGGTCTTTTGGGTTTGGTCACAATCGCGCTTATTAAGCAAGAGGGTCTCGGGATTTATTGTATATAATATCCAAAGTATTATAAGCTTTTATTGGTTTTCCGAGAACTTGTAATAGGCAATAAGACTCCTGTGTTATTGTGATTGTCTTGAAGCGTGTCCGGTGTGTGTGTGCGTGAGGTTTACTCCCCATTCCATAGGGTGTACTGTAGGTATATCAAAATAATGAAAAACTTGATACAGCTCAACATTGTAAGGTTTATTCTTTAGACATTCTTTGGTATTGATTGTTAATGTCAATTTTAACAATTTTTTGCTAAAACTGTTAGTTTGTTTCACATAAATAACGCCTAACTTTATTTTCATATCAATATTTAGACAGAGAAGAAATTCGTAGAACATGTCAATTATGTTGTTCTCGAAACTTGAGCTTTAAAGTGTACCGTTATTAATAAAAAGAGAAACAGAATCGATTAAGTCTATTTGTTGAAGTTTTACATCAACGTATGTAAAATCGTATCATTTATCTGATTATATACCTCCCTAAATATGTAAATATAGTTTTACTAGGACCTATTCTCTTTTATTATATTTATCTAAAATAATTTTATGTTTGACATCATATTATACCCGAGGGAGTTCCAAGAAATTAATCTCTTTGTACTGATCTTTCCACCAGCACCTCAGTGTAAAATCTCAAAATTTAATTTAGGCCTAGTAATTAAAAGAAATATTAGAACTAGCGGTCAGACCCGGTTCCGTTCAAGTCCAAAGAGTCTGAAGGGTTTTTTTCTTTTTGAAGCGTCTTATTCCAACAGAGTATTTACAGATATCAAGGTTTGTAGTGACATAAGGAGTAACTGCTTTTGTTATTCCTAAAGCAACATAATAATAGAAACAAAAACACATATTGATTGAATGCATTCTGTGTTGATGGCTGCCGTGGAATTAAAACAAAATAATATAACAACGGAAATCATCTTACAAAATTTTGACGGAGTGACTTAGTCAAATTATTTTTGGTGACTTTCAAGTGCTGCAGCTCCTGACTGCAATGGGCACGCGGCAAATGACGCCGACTTTACTGACCGGCGGCCATTATTAAAAAAAAAAACATTTATATGAAAAAAAAACATCACACCTCCTAGTATTATGTCTGTATTCGTTACATGTCCATTACCAGTACCTATTTTTCTTTTCTGACCTGGTAACATTAGTCTTTACTTTTCAAAATTAAATGTACCGAAAAATTTTTACTATCTATCTCTATGCTAACAAAGAATAATATTGATATTAAAACTCCTAACCTAATAACCTAACCTGACCTATTAAAGCTATAATAAATTCTACAAGCACTAGAACAACTTAAACTAATTAAGATAAACTCACATAGGTATTACTAGACAAGCCAACATTTTTAAAGGGCCCATTAAAGTTAATGTATGTATGGAACTTTATACTATGGCAAGGCTTTCTTTATTTGTATTAAAAATGTATGTTAAGTGTATTTGCTTTGATGAACACTTGAAATATAATAGTCAATTGTAATATGAAGGTCATGTTAATAGTTTTTGCTAATGAATTGGTTTGAATTGGCTAATGAGTTAAAACCAAAGAACGCCTAACTATAAAATGTTCGAATTAAGTTGTCGAAATGTTTTTATAGTCAGTTTGTAGCCTCCTAAGGTAAGATGTTCACAAGACGAAACAAAACGCAAACGATATGTGAGTGATATTACCGGAACACTTTGTGTGATCCACAAATTGTTGTTTCGGTTCTGGGTGTTATTGTGTATGTGAACTTGTATGTTTGTAAACGCACCCACGACACAGGAGAAAATCCTAGTGTGGGGCAACGTTTAAAAAAAAAAATCCCCCCATAACATCACGACGCGATATTACATTTACTTTTTTTGTTTTTTTTTCTCCTGTGTCGTGGGTGCGTTTACAAACATACAAGTTCACATACACATGACACCCAGACCAGGAACAACAATTTGTGGATCACACAAAGTGTTGTTCCGTGCGGGAATCGAACCCGCGACACGTTGCACGGCAGCTGGTTACTCAGCCACCGCACACCGTATTTACTACATAGTCAGAAGTTCATCCATCCACACCATTATTCTGAACTGTATTTTTGATACGTAGATATTAACTTTTGTATTTAAAACTGAAGGTATAAAATACAAATAATTTCCAGCCCCAAGTGAACATGTGTGGCTAATTAATACCGCATATTAGAAATCACTTGAAACAATATAAATGTTTGAAGTATGTTTCTCGTCGTTACAATAGAAATTGTTTTCACCGGCTCCATAACTTAACAAACAAGTTAAAACTAGAACGTATACTATGGAAATAGAGTTTAATATTCAATGTTGAGCCCACGTCGATAGGCAACTAACTTTAAAGGATAGAAAATTGTACCTACATGATGCACGAGTAACGTATCAGATTTTGAAATTATTTTAGCTTTAGAAAGACGGACATAATTATAGCGGCTAGATTCATGTAAAGTAATTAGTATGTATTGTTATGTATTAAAAAAGTCTGTGTTGTGACTCAAGAGAGAAAATCATAGTCGAGTTGCGTGAATTAAATGATTTAAAACTACAGAGTTTCGGCTTCTACAAGCCGTTCAGCCGTTACTGCAACAATTGTGCAATCGCAACCTTTCTTTCTTTCTTACTTAGTTTTCTTTTACTCTGTGGTTCATCATCATCATTATATCAGCCACAGGACGTCCACTGCTGAACATAGGCCTCCCCCAATGATTTCCAGATAGGCCGGTTGGAAGCGACTTGCATCCAGCGGTTAAAGTTATCAAAACATTTTTAATGTGGGAGAGCCATGCTTCGGCACGAATGGGCCGGTTCGACCGGAGTGATCCGGAGTGACCCACGGCTGCACGGACAACCGACGTGAAACAACGCTCGCGTTGCGCTTCATCGTGTGAGTGAGGTTACCGGAGGCCCAACTGCCCTCCACCCGTCCCCAGTGTCCCCAATCCCTGAATTCCCAACAATCCTCAAATTCCTAATTCCTAAAAGGCTGGTATAGCATTTGTAACACCCCTGGTGTTCCGGTGTCCATAAATGATGCCGATTGCTTACCATCAGGTGATCCGTCTGCTTGTTTACCGATTTATCCCATAAAAAAGCATTGTTTATTATAGTTATCTATGAATAAGATAATGTACGTACTGTTATAATTTCCAATAAAAGTGATGCCATAGGACTTCCTATTGTATCCGTATGTGTGTGCCCCAACATGCAACCAACCGGCGCCCTCGTATACTTTGCCGTTGCCGCCAATAATGAACCTGCAATGATCGAGATAATGGTCAATTAGTGGAGTAAAAAAATATGCAGAATGTGCAGTAGAATTTATACAAGATTGCAGAAAGTAAGTAGAACAAAAGAACCCAGCAATACTGCAGTGCACATAAGGATGAGATTAAATAACAAAATACAAAAACAATGAAGTCTGAATCCTCAAACATTTAAATCAAAAGTTGAAGAAAACGCAAAAGAACTTATGCTTCTATGATAAAATATATTATTGTGATGACCGATTAATTGAAAACCGACTTTAGTATCCATACAGTTCGTCAGTTTTTGTAGGTACGTTATTGAAAAAGTTTCTAAATAGTTCATACACTACTCAATAGATGCCGCTTTATTCAACTTTGATCATTCAAACAGATTGTTCGTAACAGTCGGACATAGCGAAAAAGTTATTTAATATAGTACTTATTAATAAAAAAAGTTGTGTAATAAACCAGAACTCGTCAAGTCTGGTACTGTCTAGGTCCTGGGATGTAAGGCACCTACCGATATTTTGTCAAAATACATATAACAAAGTTACTAGTGGCAGCATAGTGTTCCTTACTCTTATCAACTCCTATATAGATATAGGCTCAGTATCCACAATCCAGCAATCCAGAACATTTAGATTTTTCAGGTTTAAGTTATAGTAGGAGAAATCCTAAAATAATAAATATGGGCTGATGCCGATACGGAGCCGCGGAAGACTTAACGGGTTGCCGGGGCTCCGGCTCGAAGTGCAAGAGTAGGAACGGGATGGTTTTTAGTCAGTAAGAGTTTGACACTCCCCCTCGCCTCACCCGGGCGGGAGAGGTTATTGAATGATTCAAAAAAAAGGATAGTAATATATTTAAGTCGGTGCAAGAACTTCAAATTGTTTAACTCCTAATAGCATTTGAATAGATGTAGAATGTAGATTATCATCCTAATTTTAGAAAAAAAAATATTTCGACTAATCTGTTAACCCCTCGAGCGTCCCTATGAGCACCCGGTGGATCATAAGAAACAATGCTCCAAATGTCACGTGTGCACCCGTTGAATTATAAGGAACGCGGACGCTCGACGAGTTAAGTAAACACATCGATACTAAAAGGCCCATAAAAAAGGTGAAATTACATTAGTAACTGTCACATATTTTCGAAACTAACTAATAGAGTATGTCCTGTGTTTGGCCGACCTCGGGGCTCATGTATCCAAACCCAATTTACCCTATTAGGCACCTGGACACCCGATACTTGGGACACTTTATTTTTCAACGTTTCCTATCTCGTTAGATGAGTTCAAGCTGCAAATTGAAGCTTGCAGCTGTTTGCATGTTTACCCATTAAGGGTAGTTACTCAGATTTTAAATGCGTTATTGAAATTTGATTTTTGATGGAATACTGAACGAGACTTCGAAGTGAAAAATTTAAAAAGTGTCGTTTTATTTTAATGGAAAGATTGAATTACTTCTTTTTGTGATTAAGATTTGAAATTCCTGGAAAATTTGTTTCGAAAATTTTCCAAGTAAAATAATGGTGAGGGGTGGTTTTTAGTCAGTAAGAGTCTGACTTTCCCTCCTACTTCGCCCAGGCGGGAGAAAAGAAGTGTTTTTAAGGGGGAAAACCATCGAAAGACAAATATGGAAACTAGCTAACTAAACTAGAAAATTAAAGCATATTACCTAGAAATGTCTTAAATTCTATTTAACGCCTGTATAATATTTATAAGTACATTTAATTGTAATGCCTAGTGTTTAGACGCCACAGTAAAACCATTGCAAAACAAATAGGATAGCGTGTGGTTTGTGAAGACAGTATAAATGTAAAGTCTACTTACGACGATCCAATATCCCACATATTCAAGTTATCCATGTGATTCTCCTGTATATTTCTCACGATCTCTGCACAACTAGCGTCAGTACTACAGGTACGCGTGACTGTGTGCTGGATGATGACCAGGTCCACTGGTCTCGCCAGATACTCCACGTGGACTGGGTTTAAGCCGTCCCATTGTTGTTTGGATACTACGCCACAGTCTGTAAGAGACGCAGAATATCTTTATATATATAATTCCTCAGTGTGTATGTCACTGAACTTCTCTCAAACGACTGAAACAATTTGATGTAATTTTTTGTGTGTGTTCAAGGGGATTTGGGAATGGTTTAGATTCACAAATCAGCCCGGCAGATGGCGCTGCAGTCGGTGTCTAGGTTAGTTATCCTAAACGGCTGAACTAATTTCAATGAATTTTTGTTTATACCTACATTCAAGGGGATATGCAGGACAACGTCTGTTGGGTCCGCTAGTATTATATAAAATAAAAAGTGGACGAACGGCTGCTTGATGCATTTTCAAAAATGGAGTGCAGAAGTATGGTGAAGGCTTATGATAAAAGTATAAGCATTTCAACACCTCTAAAGTGATAGTCACGATCACCAAACGATAATCATGAATTGGGATGATGACAGGGTATGAAAATTAAAAATCTAATTAGTCCGTAAGTTAGGTAATGAAAAAATATTCGTATAATAAAACAATACTTAGATAAAACGAATCAAAGTTTAGGAGTGGGGGCTGAAACGTCATTTCTACGTATAAAATGTACATAGAAGTGACGTCACGCGACATTTCAACTCAATATATCGTCGAAAGTTTTCGTTTCTGTAAGAAAATAAAAATACGTGCCCAATAAATTAAAATAATCTACAAGACGGACATTAAAATAAAAATTAGGCATCTACCCTATTGTAGTTTCTTTTTTAACCATGTCGTTATTATTTAACAAATATTTTAAAAAAAATTGGAACTTATAGTTATGCTTTTAATAGGGTAACAGTTTTTCTTTAAAGCCTCATCAACAGCCTATAAATGACCACTGCTGAGCAAAGCCTCTTCTCACACGGAGAAGGTTAGAGCATTAATCACCACGCTTGCTCAATGCGAATAATGCGGATTGGCGATTTCAAACTTATAATTAGAAATTATAAATCCAGGTTTCCTCACGATGTTATTCCTTCACCGTTTGTCAGTGGTGTCTCAATAATCTTAGAAAGTACATATAACTCGGAAAAAGTCACATTGGTACTTGCCGTTGGTAGGTTTCGAACCCGCACCCTCATGCATGAGAAGTGGGCGTCTTAAACCTCCGGGCCACCACGACTTTAAAGCCTAATATTTTGAAAATTACTTTTATGATGAATATTCAAAAGATATCAAAAATGATTTAAGTTGCAAAAGAAAGCTGATAGCTTTGTATTTATTAAAACACACATTTTACATTAAATAATAAGTTTTAAATTTATTTGAGAAGACTAAAAAAAATAAAATTTTAATCCATAATGTTTTGTGTAAAATATTTAAAAAAAAATTCAAATTTTAATTTAATAATAACATTGAAGAAATCCAAATGTAAAAGATTAAATTTAATCAAGATTATTTTACAAAATTTTCTTTGTTTTAAAAAAGTACACCCCTGCGGCTGATAGAATGCAAATTAAAAAAAAAACGACAAACAAATTGAATAACAGTAAAAAGTTTCACACTCATCGCCGACTCCTTTCTCCAAGACCAATGGCCTTAGAAAAAATATATATCAATTATTTTATTTTCTTTTGCTAAATAAAATGAAATACGATATAGTTATTACTATAGTTTGGACATAAAAAAAGAATTTTAATACACTCACCCCCATTTACAGCTACTAAAGTACAAAATAAAGCGAAAAGTTTAAATAATAATTTCATTTTTTGGTTTTATAAATGCAACTTAACTCTTCGAGTACTAAATTACTACTGAAAGCACTTTGAGACCTAACCAATGAACTTTGTTTAACAGAGAAGAATCCTCATGCTGTCCTCTTCAAACTTCCTAATGTGTAAATGAGATGGCAATTGTGAAGACGTTTGTAAAATTATTCGCATATTGCATAGAGGATTCTTCATTTGTATTGAGGTTCCGTATATAAATTTGTTCAGTTTACAATAGGACAGTGTATGAAAATTAAAAATGTAATTAGTCCGTCAATTAGACAATAAGAAAAACATGAGACACTTTATAGTAAGGTAAATGTAAACTTTTTAATGTATATGAAATTAAATTAAGTTACGTATTAACTAAAATCGCCATATTCACATATTCACGTAAGTAACCCACGATTTTAGTTAATTTAGTATGTCTCACGATAGTTATTATAAAAACATAAGTTACGTATGTCGCTAAGAAACATTATAATTTCTGTTATCAAGATTCCTAGACCACCTTTACACTGTCCATTTAAAGGAAAATTTAACAGAAGAAGAAAATATTTGAATTTTCCATTGGAAACCTTGTTCTCATTGTGAAGGCTTTTGCTTTGTTTTGTTCCATATTTCTACGAAATGTGTTTAAATGAAAGTTTTCATTCACGATGTACCTGGAACTTCTTTGAACACTTGGTGTTTAGAACAAAGCAACATTTTTTGCGATCAGATGTCAAAATTTCACGTTTTTATAGAAGACTAGCTTTTACCCGCGGCTTCGCTCGCGTCACAAAAGGATAAAAAGTAGCCTATGTGACTATCCATCCGTTCAACTACCTTCAGTTAAAAAATCACGTTAATTAGTACCTCCGTTCTGCCGTTTAAGACAGGCAAACAAACAAATAGCTTTCCGCTCGCGTGGAATTCGGTTATATCGCGCTATTTAGATATTTTCAATAAGTAGGTAATTCGTTGACTGGTTTTAAATGACATACAACGCCATCTATACCAGTGCATACAGCGCCATCTATACCAATATTTTTGTTTTTTCTAGCAAATATCATTTTTTCCGGGATAAAAAGTACCCTATTATTTAATCCAGACTTCTAACTTTACGTCTGCAAAATTTCAAAGCAATCGGTCTAGTAGTTACGGCGTGAAGGCGGAACAAACAAACAAACAAACATACTCACTTTCCGATTTATAATATAAGTAAGGAGTAAGGATAAGGATTTATATGGAATTGTTCATTAGTCACCTTTGGATGATAAAAGATCGTTTTATTGTTTGATCTTAGTTGCCTACAAACATACGTATTTGTGCCAAGCAAAAGGAAACCATGAAACGTCTTAGTGTTAGGATTATTTATCCTAAATCATTTTTTGTTATACTTCCATGACTATGAAGGCCGTTTTTAAAAATGCTTCTGTACTCACACTAAATTATATTTCGATTTATCATTGATTGAATATAACATAACATCACGCCTTTTTATCCCCGAAGGGATTTTTTTTTCAAGGGGGGAATCAATGACTGTCATCAAAGACTGCTCCAGCCTTTGTGTCAGACTCTTACTGAATAAAAACCACCCCGCTTCTTCTCCTGCACGTCGAGCCGGAGCCTCGGTTACCCGTTAGGTTCTCCGCGACAATATACTATACATACGACAGTGTGCAATGTGCAATGTAACACCCACTTTTCACTATTTATGTTATGAGTCCCATGTAATAGGGGGTGAGCCTATTGCCCATACACCGGGCACAATTCCAGACTCCGTGCTACTACTGATTTTTTAAACCCGAATCGAACCCGAGACCCCTTGCCCGGCAGTCGCACTTGCGACCACTCGACCAACGAGGCAGTCAGATCAGTTGATTAAATATAATTATGAATTAAAGAATTATACTCGATATTTGGCAAAACGTCGATGATCTGTAGCTACCTTCAGACCTCTTCTCCGGGGAATAACAGGCGATTTTAACTTTATGCAGCGGAACCCCAATACCTTGAAAGCATACTGATAACTCAATTATAAACTATTCTTGTTGGCTGGGAACGGGGATTCCTCTCAGAACATAAACATAAGTTTATCTCTAAAATTCAGTATGATACTGACTTCGTAAAAACATAGCTTTAACAGTTATAGCAATAAAATAAACAAACCGGTTGCCGGTACAGTTTTGGTTTCCGTAGATTGAATTTGAGCCTTATGCCGTTGGGATAGAAGCTTCGTTTTTTTATATTGCGTTGCAATATCAATAGATATAGCGTGTGTCATGCATGTCTTTGTTTATCTTATTCAGTGTAGTTTATTGTGATACACGATAGTGTCAATGACAATGTATAGCCAGCAAGTTAACCTTTTTTGTCTCGAACTTAAAGTACTCCTGCAGCTGTAGCCAAATGCCATTTAGCGTTTGTCTACATGTAGAATAGAAAACCAAATTATATGGAATTGACGTAAACTTTGACACTTGTCAGTGTCATTCCCATACATTTTGATTTCTACTCTCTTTGTAGACAAGCGCTAAAGTGGCGTTTGGCTAAAAGCACTGGAACTCAGATCAGCGTTAGATTTTTATTAACCTAAAATTGGCATTGGTGGTGAAGACTAGAAATGCACCGAATATTTGGTTACTATGCGGTATCCGGCGTAACCGGCCGTTATTTACTATCCGGCCGGATACCGGATGATAATGTACTATCCGGCCAGATACCGAATAGTAAACGTGGTAGATTTTATAAATGAAATCTAAATAGAGACACAGTTGTAATTGAATCTTATTATTATTTTAAACAATTTTAACTTTTTATAATAACAAATCAAAACCTGCACGGTGACCGGCGTGGCGGTACGCGACACGCACGTCTATGAAACTCAAAATATAGGTATCAAACTACCGGCCAAATATTCGGCATCCGGATATTCTTACATTCATTAATTGATCACACATTCATTAATTGATTTTATGACCGACTTAATTTTAGTATTTTCAGAGCAAATTTTTAAGAAATAAGTATGACGTCACAATTCACAATCTCGTACAAAATTCAAAGAAAACTGGCGTTTTTTCACAATATAAAAAAAGTATTGAATTTGACTAGTTCAAAGGACCCAATTATTATGACGTGTTTAACAAAATTCTCAAAAAAACTTTAGCTTGTAAAAAAATAAAACCGTGTAAATATTTTGAATTTATATACATCGCTTAATTAATAAAGGAACGTACTTCAAAGGATATTCGTGTTTACCTATTCGGGGAAAAACATACACGATCTTGTAGCTCATTTTTAGGAATCATACATTACATTATAGTATATAACTACCTACATACGTTACGTATATAGGTAATGTCAATAACCACTGCTGTCTATTATGACTATCGATTGTTACGGGGTTTCGATTCCCTCACAGAACAACTCTATCATATAAAAATTGTTGTTTCTGGTCTGGGTGTCGTGTGTCCTTCTTAGCTAGCATAACTGCTTCGCAAAAGGAGGAGACGGCATCCCAGTCCCCCTCGCTCCGCATTATGGCCTGCACTAGGCCCGGACGCGAGAGGTCGCCATCACCGATCACTTCCCTGAGAGCACGGCGGTGCTCAGCCCACGCAGGGCATTCCGCTACAGTGTGTTCCACCGTGTCCTCAAGGCGGTTCTCGCAGTGATGACACCCGGGCGTTTTCTCCCGCCCCATCAGACACAGGTACCTCCCGAAACTTCCATGTCCGGAGGACCAGTGTCAGGCGGTAGGTGAGGACGCCGTAGCGTCTCTCAAGCCACTCCTCAAAGAGGGGACTTACTGCTACAATGGCAGCGAGCCCAAAAATCCTAGTATAGAGCAACGTTTTTAAAAAAAAGAAATAAATATGTCATGAGGCGAACCTATGGCCACAGGGAGTGCCTCCACTAATACTTTAAAACATCGAAAAGCCCAGTAATATTTTCAGACCCCAGACAAAATACAACTCGTCACGTACTCAGTCAGTCACGCAGTCCTACTTAGCCACACTGTTTCAACAGACTTTAAAAAAAATTTCAATCAGTAATGTTATTTATAACCTGTAAATTATCCCCATTACTTTATTCAGACTGGGAGAAAATTCCTGCGGCATTAAGTCCACCTTATGTACTCTTTGTGCATGAAGCTTTATAAATAAATTAATACTTTAGCTTGAAATCCTAATAAAGGAGACCAAATTCAGCGCTCTGATTGGTTCATTAAAGACGGCCATTCCAAGCATAGAATATGTACTCATTTCGATTACTTCAGACGTTAAACATATTCGCATTAAGGCCTAAGTAAAAAGTCAGTATATCTCCATACACAGACTTACCTTTAGCAAAACAGACGTTAACACTAGTAATATGATCATATCAATATCACAAACGTAGTGCGAGAACACGGACACTATCAGCCATGCACTTTCCGGTCAAGAGGTCAATGTATGTATGTCGTATCTATTGAGAACGGAGTAAACAGTTACTTGGTATAGAGGTACATATGTACTACTAGACTTCATACATGTAGGGAATAGATTAGTAGGTAGAGGTAGGAATGTAATGAAATGAATGATGTAATATTTATTTATTTAATACATACATACATAACTTCACGCCTGTCTCCCATGGGGGTAGGCAGAGACTAGAGAACGCCAATTACTACGATTCCTACATACCTCTTTCGCTTCATCAACAGTCATCAATCTTTTCATGCATGCTCGTCGGTTAAGGGTACTTTTAATTTGGCTCTTCTTTAATATATTCTTTTATATATGTCCGTCTAGGGCGCCCTCTACCGACGGCCCCATTCATATCCGCTCTGTGTACTTCTTTCGTTACTCTTCTTTCATCTATCCTTTCTACATGTTCCAATCAGCGTAACATTCTCTTTTCAATCCTTGTCACTACATCAACTTTCAATCCACACCTTTCACTCTAATAACACTATTTTTCACTCGATCACTCAATTTTAGTCCACTCATACTTCTCAGAGCTCTCATTTC